TACCCTGTTCCGTGGACCTTCTCACTGAACAAGAGAAAGCTCACACAAGTTTCCATGAACTCAAATTGATGCAGATACTCACAAATATCTTTGGTCTTTGTGCTGACAGTTAATGTCAAATTCAAGGGCTTTTTCAGCTACATACAGTGGAAAATATCTTGACATCTTTTCTTTCAGAAGCTTAGAATCCCAAGAGTAACAATGGCACGTGCTGAACAGGAGTCTTCCATGTCAAAGAATTGGTGACCAGTCAGGACAATGAGGTCAAGAGTAAATATGAGCCAGGTATAGTGGCACATACCTGTAACCTCAGTGTCTTGGGAAGCGGAGGTAAGAGGATCGCGAGTTCGAAGCCAGCCTCAGCAAAAGTGAGGCGCTAAGCAACTCAATGAGACCTTGTCTCTAAATAAAATACAAAATAGAGCTGGGGATGTGGCTCAGTGGTGGAGTGCCCCTGGGTTTAATCCCTGAAACAAAAAAAAATGGATCTCTAATGGCTTCCACATATGCCTCCTATGATGGCAAAGTTTTATGTGATAAGCCACAGAAACAATTTAAATCTTCAAACTTTTTTTTAGCCAAATAGGAACAATTTATCTCCTGGGACATGAAAATGTGTCAAGAAAGTGTCATAAAATGGTTCATCCTGAGTAATATAAAGAATTACTGTAAACTACACTCCTAGAAAGCTGAATGGTGAATCTCACTAAAAGAGATTGGCCTGAGTCTAGGTCCCAGACTCCCAGAATGAGCCCTGATATGCAGTAGTTACTCAATAAAGGCTTGTCGAATGCACTTGCTAGTTATCATTGTCAAGTTTATTAAATATTGGGCAGCTTCTACCAATGCAACATTGATAACTGAGATCAAAATAGTGGTTTTATGTGGTTTTGTTAGTTTTGTGTTGCCATTGCTAAGGCTACTTTATTCAGGTTTCTCATGAATCTGAGTTCCCAAGTCATATGTGATGAGAGCTTTGACATCCTCCTTACATAGCTCTGTACATTCTCTGCCCACTCTCCAGGATCCCATTGGATTTGACACAAAATATTCAGCAAATAGGTACAAAAAATGATGAAGTGAGATTATATCAAGCTAAAACTGTCTACATAGCAAAGAAAGCAAAGTGAACTTTTATTGTCAAATATAAAAAGTCATGGATGGAGATAAATATCAAAGTGATTTTCTGTTGTTTACAAGGGTTTTTAATAGAATCCTTTTGTTGTCTTTAATTCATTCTGAGTTTATTTTTGAGTATGGTATAAAAATTCAATACTGGTTTTTTTCAGTTGTCCTAACAGTACTTACTATAATTTATCCCTTCCCCACTGTGTAGACCAGACTCCTTTATTAAAAACCAGTTGACTATAAATGCATGGTTTTACTTCTGAGTTTTCTGTACAAATTACAAAATTCTTCAAGGGTCTTTTTTGTGCCAACACCATACTTTCTTGGTTTCTACAGGCTCATAATGTAATTTGAAATCAATAAGTGTGATGTATCCAACTTTTTCTTGCTCAAGGTTGCTTTGACTAATTGATTTTCTTTATAGTACCATATGAATTTTAAGATATTGTGTCTATTTCTGTGAAAAATGCCATTGGTATCTTGATGGCGATTGCATTAAATATGTATATCACTTTGGATATTATAAGCATTTTGACAATATCAATTATGATCCATGATAGAAGTCTTTTTTTTTTCAATTTATTTGTGTCATCTAAGATGTTGATTTTGTGTTCTGCAACTGTACTGCTTTCATGTACTAGTTTTAATAGTTTTTTGGTAGTGTCTATAGGATTTTCTGTGTATAAGATCATATCATTTACAAATAGAGAGAATTTTATGTGATTTTTCCTATTTGAATGTCTTTTATGTCTTTCTCCTGCTTCATGGTTCTGGCTAGAACTTGAGTATTATGTTGAACAAGTGTCACAAGAATGAACACCATTGTCTTGCTCTTGAACTTATACTACAGATTTTAATTACAAGTGATGTTAGTAAAAATAATAAAATTCTTATAACAAAAATAAGTTATAATGTCTAGGAATGTATTTCAGTCTATAATAACAGTTTTCCTGGAATTCAATTAAATATTTCTATGTTCTTGTTATTTCTCCTCTATAAAATTATCTCTGATTTTTTTCCTAGGAGTCAATCCTACACAACCCCTTTTCCCCAAAATTTCCCTCTTTTTCATAGCTAATCCTTAAAGTCTTACATGTTCCATTAATTCTTGTTTAAAACCTCATTTAGGTAGTTTATCAGCTGAAAAACAAATAGCAATAGGTTTCAAATGGTAGCCAACTAAACTCTAAAAGACAAAGAAGGCAGGTGCCAAGATGTTAATATTCTGCTGAGTGTAGGAAATCATCTCTGGCAAAATTATGGGGACCAATGAACTCTAATGATCAATAATGGGTGGGAAAGTTCAAGAAACCCAAGGGGTACAGGCATCTGCTTGCCACAAAAAATTTTACTTGCACAAAACAATTGTGTTATGGTTTAGATATGAGGTGTCTCCCAAAAGTTCATGTGTGAGACAATGAAGAACATTGGGAGGTGAAATTATTAGATTTGGGCAGGTATAACCTCATCAATGGATTGATCCACTGATGTGAATTAAGTAGATGGCAATTTTGGGCAGGTAGGGTGTGGCTGGGAGAGGTAGGTCACTAGAAGCATATTTTGTTCTTGGTGAGTAGAGTGCTGTCTCTCTCTCTCTCTCTCTCTCTCTCTCTCTCTCTCTCTCTCTCTCTCCCCCCACCCACCGCCTTTCTACCTGATTACCATGACCTGAGTTGCCTCCTCTGCCACATTCTTCCCATTATGTTCTGCTTCACTTGGGCCCAGAGTTATAAAGTCAGCTGTCTATATACTGGGAAACTCATGTTTTTTCCTTCATATTTAATGGTCATATGAGAAGTCGCAACTATACTTATTAAAGGAATACAAAACAAACCAGCCCATTCCCAGAAACATACTGTGCTCCTCCAGAGGATGGACACCTTGCACCATCCACCTCAGTAGGGACTTACCATTGCCTGAGTCAGGGGAGGGGCGCAGCATAAGATGGAAAAGTTTTAGAATGTTTTAAGTGAAGCTTTGTGTGTGATTCTGTTTTGACAAAGAAGTTGTCTACATTTTGCTTATGTCCTGAAACTTTTTGTAAGACTGAATTTGAAAGTGATAAACTAATTAATCAGACCCACAAAATTCTAAGACAGAACAGAATTTAGCCAATGGCGTGATATTCTAGCAGTTTTTAGCCAAGTTTACTGTGATAAGCAGGAGCATAAAACAGAGCAGAAAGATTTGAAAAAAACTTGAAGTTTGGCCAGAAAAGTGCAAGCAAAACTGAAGCTAAGAAAGTTGTGGCTGTTGAAGCCATTACTGCCTCTAAAAAGATGCTAAATAATTTACCTAGAGACAACAGGAAAGATGGCTAGAGGGTATCTCATTAATAGGCAAGACCAAGCCCATCTCAGGCTCTAGTGTTTAAAAGTAAAATTCCTTTGAGAAGAGACCTGTGAGGTCCCTGCTTGCACAGAGGGGCCTAGGAAGTTGTTTCACCATGCTTAGCCACTCGGGCACTCAGACGCTGCTGAAACTGGGGTCCCAGAAGGCTTAATTACTTCTCAAGATGGCAGCAGACCTTGTAGACAATAAGTGGTGCTGGTTCTGCAGGAATGCCAGAAGCTGGAGTTAAGGAGTCATGAAAGCCTCCACCAAGATGCCATTGGAAGAACTGGGAGGACAGAGAAAGTGTAGCAGGATCAAAATTCCTGAAGGCTGCACCTGAGAGGGTGACACATGATGATGGGAAAAGGAGGCTGACACTACAACTGTGTCCCCCGAGATTAAGAGATGCTAATTACATGGGATATCTGCTAAGGAAAGCTTTAGGAATTGAACAGAAACAAGCCAAGAGAGTTTATGTGGGCTGCAACCAGTAAGGTCATGTGAGTGGATTTACACAAGTTTGGGCGAGAACACCATGATGCAATGTACCCCAGATGCTGGACGTGAGCTATAGTATTGTTTGCCTAGCTGGATTTTGGTCTTGCTTTGGTTTAATCACTTATTTCTATGCTCCTATTCCTCTCTTGTGGAATAGAAGTGTTTATTCTGTACCATTATATATTGGATATTTGTAATTTGCTTTTGATTTTTATGGGGGCTTTTCCTGGGAGTTTGTCTTGTATCTCAGGAGCCTTTTGGCTTGGACATTTGGGTAACACCAAAACTGTTAAGACTACTGAGTATTCTTAAAAATGGACTAAATGTATTTTGTGTTGTGATATAGGTCACTGAGGGCCGGAGACAGAATATTGCAGTTTAGATATGAGGTATCCCCCAAAAGCTCATACGTGAGAAAATGCAAGAATGTTTAGAGGTAAAATTATTAGATTATGATATCTATAACCTAATCAGTGGATTAATCTACTTGATGTGAACTAACTGGCTGATAACTGTAGGCTGTTAGGGTTTGGCTGGGGAAGGTCACTCACTGGGCGTGTGCCTCTGGGGTTTATATCTTGTCTCTGCTTCCCAATTGCCATGTTCTAAGCTGCTTTCCTCTTCTATACTCTTCCACCATGATGCTCTGCTTCACCTTGGGCCCAGAATTTTGAAGCAAACCATCTAAGGACAGAATCCTCTGAAACTGTGAGCCCCAAATAAACTTTTCCTCCCCTATTTGCTCATCAGATCTTTTGGTCACAGCAACAAAAAAACCTGACTAAAATAAATGGAATCTGTGCCCAGTTGCTTCAGTGGCCTCTTAAAATTTCTCAACTAAGGAATATGCTGTTTTTAATATAACCAGATGACCATGTTCATAGCATGCCAAGTTAAAGAACAACACATTAACCACAAAATAATTTTATTAAATTATATCCTGCTAGTGCAAATAATTCCATTTATTCATTATGTTAATTCCTGAATTGAGTTGTTTAGACCTTGATACAGAATATAAGATATAAAAACATTTGCTCTATACAAATTGTTATTCAGTGACTTCAGCTAATAAATAAAAAATATGAAAACTTTGGATAAATCAGACTTAGGATACAACAGTCTAACTTCAATATGCCTTCATACTTAGGGCTAGTTACACAAAAGTTCATAGGATGATTGATAGTGATAGAATTTCAAGTTATTACTGTCTGTACTTTTTGTTCAAAATTTCTAAAAACTTCTACTATTCCCTACCAGAGAACTCCTCCTTCTCTGTTCACTTTTATATTTATGATATTCCCTTTTATTCTTCTTTTTATGTCACTTTCTCATGGTTCATTGTTTTATGCTAACTTCTTAAATATTCTTTTCTGTCTTACATGGACAGTATTTAATTTATGACACCATAGCATAACCAATGCAGCTGATGAGGTGTTGATGTCTTCTTTTATTCAGGATCCCCCTAATTATTCTGCCATTTTTTTCAAGTAGGTAAATGTCATCATATCTGAGACTCTATATGTAAGTACATCTGTTTGTGATCTCCTTGTTTGCTCCAAATATCTTGGAAGAGTAACCATTGTATAAGAACATAGAAATCAGCCCTGAAAAATAAGGATATATGACAATGTCATAGCTAATTAGAAAATAAGGGTGAACACATCTCCTATGCCTTTGGGCACAGTGTCATCTACATGACACCACATTGGGAATCATTAACTTTGGAAAAGGTGTTTTCATTCTGCATTAAGTCTTCTATAATGCTCAGATATTATGAGAATTCAGGCCCATTCACCATATGTGACCACAATATCCCCATTTCCCAGCCTCATTCCTTTGGAAAGTTGTGATAGAAGTCAACACTTACTCCTAGCTGCACAGTAGTCACAGGAAATGAACTAGAAAGAGTCCCCAAAGGTCCCTATGTCTAACATTCAAGCCAAGAAGGCACTAAATCCACAGATATTACAGAGGACTGTGCATGATCATCAGTCTTCCAAGGAACAAGAGAGGATCCATGGTCTGAGAGTTATTACTTAAAATTTTAGTCATTCTCTTTTCCCATCTTAACCTGAGTCTCTGCTTCTTCTTAGTACTTTCCACAGAGCTCCCTTCACATCCTTGTTTCTTAGGGTATAAATTAGAGGATTGAGAATGGGAGTGACTATAGTGTAAAAAAGGGCAACAAATTTTCCCTCCTTCTCAGAATAACTGTGGATAGGTTGGAGGTATGTGTAAATGGCTGAGCCATAGAAGAGGAAAACAACCAGCAGGTGGGACCCACATGTTCCAAAAGCCTTTCTGCGCCCAGCCATTGATTTGACCTTCAGTACTGCCTTAGCAATGTACACATAGGAGACTAGAATCAGTGCCGCAGGTACAACCAAGATTATGACTCGGGCCACAAACATCTTGGCCTCTGTGCCTCCTGTGTCCTCACAAGCCAACTTCAGGAATACAGGCATCTCACAGAAGAAGTGGTTCAGTCGATGGCCACAGAGAGGTATGGCCATCATGAGGCCTGTCTGAATCAGAGAGTTCATGAATCCTCCTACCCAGGATGTGATAGCTAATGCCTGGCAGAGAAGGGGGTGCATGATGGTTGTGTAGTGGAGTGGACGACACACAGCTGCATAGCGATCAATGGCCATCACCACCAGGAGCACACATTCAGTGGAGCCCAAGGCAAGGTAGATAAAGAGCTGGGCCACACACCCTCCATAGCTGATGGTCCGGTCCAGTCCCTGAAGGTTGATTAGAAGCTGAGGCACAGTGCTGGTGGTAAAGCAAAGGTCCAGGAAGGAGAGGTGAGAGAGAAAGAAATACATGGGCGTGTGCAGTCGAAGGTCTATTCGGGAGAGAATGATGATGGTGGTGTTGCCCAAGAGAGTTAGGGAGTAGAAAATCAAAATAAAGACAAAAAGGAGGATCTCCAGTTGAGGCCAATCTGAGAAGCCCACCAAAATGAAGCTCTCTCCAGAACTGGTGTTGAAACTTCCCATAGCTTTTCACCTACCAAATAGGAGAAAATAATTCAGGTCATCCTATGAGGAATACCATTAAAACATTTATTTCACTATGTTTCTTAAATTCTCCAAAATTGTGCATGTTTTTTTAAAATTTTTCTATTTAGTTCTGTGTATCCAGTCTTCTATTATGACTATTCTTGAGATAGGAGATCACTGAATTAGGAATAATATGGCCTAAGTTTGAACTCTAGTCCTGTTGTTCATTTTCTTTGTGACCACAGCCAGCTCAGCCAATCCTTTGGATGCAATGCTTCCTTGTCTGAAAGTAGAGATGATATATATTGTTTCCCTTACAAAACCAAGATTGTGGTAACTACTTTTAAAAATCTAAGCTGGAAAACACAGCATTAGTTTCCTGTAGTTCCAACTGGCTTCTTTCCTTGATTTATTAATAACCTGTTTTAGGAGGTTAAAACACTACTGAGATATCGATTTTGAGTATTTGTCTGCTTCCTTTTCCTCAATAAATATGGTCAGTACACCAAACCTGGAAGCCCCATGCATGGCCAGAAATGGACTGAGAATAGTGTAGAACCATTTCTTTGGTGATAGCAATTAGTAACAAACATCGCATTATTATGAATGATTCTACCTGGAATACCTTCCCCCACACATCTTCAACTGATAAATCATTCTTTACTCCACAGAAGGAGTTTTCCCATCCATTCCAGCCCTATCCTCACTGTGAAGTTTTCTACAATGCTTGACATTCTTATCTCATTCTTTATATAAAAATTATAAGTCCTTGCCTCTCTCTGAGTCCTCAGTGGTAGAAAAAAAATAGTAAATATAATAATAAATATTGTCTTCTTTTAAGGTACATATAAAGGTGATAAATACATGTTAATTTCATTTGGGAAATTAATGTATGTAACTTATACAATGTTGCATACATTTTGGCAAATGAAATGTTTGACTTTCCCTTCAAATCTTATGAAAATTCACCTTCTGAAAAACCTGCAGATAAACTGCTAATACACTCTAATAAGCCATAGAAGTAGGATAGAAACAAAAAGTTGCTTTGTTTAAGACTGATATTTTTGTAGTTAAAAATCCAAATAAGATTATAAGAAGTATGACAGAAAGCAAAAACAAAACAAGAAAACTAACAAAATAAGCTCCATATTAGCAACTTTTACCAAATTAATTAATTTATGTCTTTTGTTAAGTTTTCTGAACTGGAAGATCATCACTAATGGATCAATGCTGGATCAATGATTTTAATAAGAAATTTAGATGCTATCTATGATGATTTTGTGGAAAATGGAGAAAATATGAATGATAAAAACAAAGTGTTAATTTTTATGTTGTCTAACCAATGTATCAAAGATGGTTTTTGAATGAGAAGCATATTGGTGCACATATGAAGTCCCTACTGATCAACTCTATCACTGATGAGTGGTGCTCTCTGTTCTGAAAAATTCACTTCTCTAAGTCTCAGTTTACTTAAGTGTAAAACACAAGAAATACCTTACTTCACAGGATTTTGATCATTTTTAAATTACATAATGTTATTTGTACATTAAAATAAACACATGGGATGCAGCATTTAATATTTTATATTTTATATTTAATATTATTTTATTTTGATTAGCATGTACAAATTGTACATTTTGGTGTATTTCAGTGAGATATTTTAATACATATATACATTGTACACTAACCAACTCCTATCTCCTTTACCTATCCCCCCTTCATTTACCAAATCCTACTGATAGCTATTGTATATTTAGGTTGACTATTTTGTATCTTCCTAATATGAGAAAGAACACAAAACTCTTGTCTATATATGCCTGTTAACACTTGTCTTTCTACAATACTTATCTTCACTATATAATAGGGTTTGCTTTTGTTCACCATTAAAGTATCCCCATTTCCCAGTATAGTGCCTGGAGAACAAAAGGCTCTCAACAAATATGGTTACATGAATTAATGATTCATTTCCCACTTTGACACCATGCCTGAAGCACATAAATTTCCCAGAACTATTTGTTTCCTGTGAAAAATGAATGAAATAACACATCTTCACTGTTTATCATTTACTGGCACAAGGGCTTTAACCATACTCATTTTATATTTTTAATCAATGACATATTTAGTGAAATATAGATGTACTTAATATACAAATGAACTAAAATCTAAAAACATAAATAAAATGATAAATGATTGAATAATAATCCAAAAGGATTTCAATATGATGACAGGAGACTGAAAACCAATAAATAGCCAGCATAGTAGATAAGATATTAAGGTAATATTAAACAAGGAATATTGAGTTTACCTTCAACTCAGTTGGAAAAACATAGAATGGAGGAGACAAACATGGTAGCTATGTATTACAAAACTAGAAAACAATGATAACTTGGGAGTGTACTGACCAAAACCTCAGGTCAACAGTGTCCTCTGATGGTTGAATTCTACCAAGTGCAAGCACAGACTGGAACCTTGGCCTCTCGAGTTAGCAGAGCAACCAAAAGATCATTTCTTCATAGCCCCTTGTGCTACCTAATCCATGACTTTCTCATATGAAATCTTAAAGAAAGTTCTTATTTAATGATGCCACTGTGTAAATTTCCCATCTATAATCTTTTGAGCCTTTATTTCTATCAGATCCCTATTTCCACTTTGTTTCTTTTATTTCTTGATCCAACATGTCAGTCTTTTGCTAATATACTTAAACTTGTTGTCATAGTCCCACCCTTCAGATTCTAAAAGAATGCAATTCTCTAGTTTCCATTAGTAAAATCATGTTAGAAAATTCTGCAGGGAAAACATAATCCCAGCATCCAATGAATGTAATTAAAAATTCACAGTCTTCCTAATGTATCTTCAACATTTCTCTCTCTACTGGGTTTTTCTCAACTGAAAAGACCTATGATAAAGTCTCTCCAATTTAAAAATATGTATATATTTTCTTCTTAGGTCTCCTTTTAGTTACTTCAATTTCTTTTCTACTCTCCACAGATAGTTTATCAAGAATTCTCTCTCCTCAGTGTTACCACTACGTCTTCTTCCACTCACTCTCAACTCACTACTATATTGCTGTTATATTCAACACTTTTGTAGAGAAACATGGTGGACATTTTCTTGGTCAGAGCATTTTACATGTATACTACTGTCCATTACTGCAGAAAACCTTCCCTTTCCTAGTTATCCTCCTCTATCTTTGGCTATCTTTCAGTCTATTTTGTGTATTCTTCTTTCAATGTGCATCCTTACATGTTTTAGTTCCTTCTCAGAATTCTACCCTCAAAGCATATGCACAATGGAATATTACTCAGCCTTAAAGAAAAATGAAATTATGGCATTGGCAGGTAAATGGATGAAGCTGGAGAATATCATGCTAAGTAAAATAAACCAAACCCCCCAAATCAATATCAGTATCCTCTTATAAGTGGATACTGATCCATGGGTGGTGGGAGGGGGGGATAGAGAAGAATGATTGTGCAGAGGTAAGTGAGAGGAGTGGAGTGGGTGTGGAGATGGGAAGAATGGTGGAATGAGACAGACATTATTACCCTATGGACACGTTTGATTATACTACATGTGTGACTCTGCACCATGTACAGTCCAAGGAAGGAGGAGTTGTGCTCCATTTGTGTACAATGTGTCAAAATGCACTCTACTGTCATGTATAAGTAATTAGAACAAATTTTTTAAAAAAGGGAAAAAAAGCTATTCTCTCATATTCCACAGAACCTCCCTGGAATATGCACCCACTCCAAAGAACTAAATCAGAGAATCACTGTCTTGTCAACACCCACATGTACTTTTCTACTCACAGTCTCACTTATGAACTTCACACTTCTGTAATCCATCTGTATTAAGCATGACATTTTATTTCAGGTATTTCTGTTGCTTTTATATTTGGGGTTCGAATAATCTTAGTTGAAACTGCCTCTTTCAATGTCACAGTCTCGAGAGATATTAAAGGACTTTGCTGAAAGCAGAATTTTCATGCACAAACTGACCAATCCAGAACCAATATTCCAATTATATGCTTTATTGGATTCTCAATCTTGGACATTAACTCCCTGTCTTAATAACCCCATAGGTAAATACCAGAAAACAAGGATAGCCTTTATACTCTAGGGCATGATGAAATTATTCAAACTAGCAAATTATAAGATGTATACATTGTGTCACCTGTTTTTATTCTTACTGTGGAAACCACAACCATAGCTCTTGTCCACATTCTCATTCACTCCTCCTGCTTCCTAATGAAACCTGGTGCTTCATGTGGCCTCATGCAGCACACCATGCCCCTTCCTCTTGATAACTGTGAGTAATGAACTATTGGTTAAATGACATCTCTTGACCTGCTGCCCTCCTTATACTGTTAATGATAACATGGCCTGAGAGGAAGAAGATGGCAGGCCAGAGGTAGGCAGCATTCTGTGTCACTCTGTGATACAGATCTCACCTAATGGGAATATTGAATCTCTGAGAGTGTTAGATGACCCCTATACAGCTGCTCTTGCACAGAAATCACCAGCACTGTGCCCCTGTGCAGGGCTTTGGGCCTCAGCACTTGAGCAAGACTCCTGTTTGAGAAAGACTCCTGACTTCTGACATTCAACCCCCAAAAGTTCTAGCCAATGCAGGGCTTGTGGGTGCCTAGAATAGCAAAATCACCTATCAGCACAGCTGCAGAACTCAAACTTCACTCTGCTCCCACACAGGTCACTCAGCTGCTAACTACCCTCAGCACAACATCAGTGCCTGGCGCTCCCCACCCCACCCAACACCTTGGCACTGGAAGCAGACTGCCTCCATCTTGGCTCAACTTCCTTGCCATATTTAGTGGGTGCAGCTCCAAGATTGGAACTGGCCAGGTACCAGGTTTCCAACTTCCCCCTCTTCCCAGCAGCGGTAATCCACCTTGGCACTGGAAGCAGACTGCCTCCATCTTGGCTCAACTTCCTTGCCATATTTAGTGGGTGCAGCTCCAAGATTGGAACTGGCCAGGTACCAGGT